GTTGGAGGGCTCTCTTAATTGTAACACCATGCAAACTGGGATAATTTTTTTTATAAACGTAAAATGGAGCATGCGCGATAAAGTTGGATTAGAAAGTCGAGGTGGAATCACGGTCAGGCGCGGAGACTATTTCAAGATCAAATCGGGAGGGAAGTGTGAAAGGTGATGGCTGGTGAATTTATTTCGACACGTTTTTTTTTTTATTCTTTTTACGAACTCGCGATAGCTTTCATTACTTCTTCACGCCATTCCATTTATAATTCAACCATCATCGATAATTGATTATCAATGTTCCCAGATAAATTTCTCATTGAAATTTTATAAAAATTATATTTTTTATTACAATATTAACCCAAAAATGTAAGAATCGATTGCATTCCAGAGTGAATTTTCCTCTACCCCCGGCGAATATTTTTGAAGCAGTCAAGGGGTTGACATCAGCCGAAAGGGTTGAAACTGAGTCAGTAATGCCCGAGAGCCGAGGGGGTGAATCGCAATGTCTGATTTGCAAGATTGGAAAAGTTCCACTTTAAGATGATCTTAAAGACATTATCATGACTCGAGTTAAAACACCCGCGAGATTAAAATATTTTTAAAATTTTTTTTATAAATTTTTGGAATTCTGCTACACCACGACAATTGTGAAATATTTATTTCCATCAAGGCTGCAATCCATCAGATTGCTGCCACGATGTCAACTATTTTTTATCCCCCTCTCCTCCGCCCCTCCACTCCCTTTGCACAACTTTTATCTTATCTAGCCACTGATACAGCAGTAAAATGCATCGTAGAATGCTCAACTCGATTCGTCCCAACTTGATCGCTTGCTCATTTTTTTTTCTCTTTTCTTTATATTTTTTTTTATTCTCCACTCGTTTAAATTGATAACGGTGGAAAACTTTTGCATTAATGCCGAATACAATAGTGTCGGTGGTATTTGTTTTTACAACTGAAATGTCTGTCGTAGACTTGGTAATACACACGTCAGATTTTCAACAGCAGTTGGTGAAACCCGAGGGAAGATGTATTTGTGGGTAAAGATGGAGGGGTTAAGCCTTTGCCTCGCATGATATTAATCTCAGCCGGAGGTCTGTCATTATTTACCCGACACCTGCAATTTATTCACCTCCTTAAAGAGGCCTGTAATGACCGACTGACCGAAGCTAGAATAAAGAAACCATCGATACTTCAATAATTTTCAACATTCGCACTGCACTTGACGAGTGAGGGCTCTCTCACGCCTTCAAGTTTAACAATGAGTCGTAATGATGGGTAACGAGTTCATTACAATCTTCTCTTGGTGTGTAAAATTCTATAGTAATTTCCCACTTTTTATTTCTAATAACAAAAAAAAAATTGAGAGCTGTGAACGATTAGATAGATATAATAATGGAGAGGCGAGTGATCTCGGGTCAGATCGGAATTAAATAAATCTCCGATGTTCAATTATTAATGCAGAGAACGATTTAAATCATAAAAAATATCCAGAGTAATTGGATGTCCTTGAAGTCCTATTTTGTACCATTTTGCCGCAATTACGAGTCGAGGGTTTTTGTCGTTAAAATTTAATTAGCACCTCTCGCTACCTTGAGCTACCCCTCCAGTAGCCCACAGCACCCTGGAAAAAGTCCGGGCACCCAAGAATATTGTAGAACTTTTGGTTTTACTTTTTAAGTAATTCACCCCCCGTCGCTATATTTTTCGTGTCCTCTCCCCGTTCAACATACGACTCGACTAATTGACTCCACAAATCGCTTCCGGGTTTTTGCGACGAGTGGAGACCCTCGGAGGATAAAAATTAGTTTTTACCACTGGATAGAAAAAAAACAACTGGAAATGTGTGTCAAATGAATTACACGATTAATTATCGAGGAAGTGGTAATCAGAGGGTAATTATGATTTTTTTTATTGTGGGTGGAAACAGTTGGGGAAACAATCGAGTGGACATACCCCATCATCAGAGCTCGAATTTTCGACAAAAATGTGACCCTCATTTTTCTATTTTTCTCTGTACAGAATAGCTGAATGGAGAAGGGATTAAATGTGAAGCGTAGGCGGATTTTACGAGGGGGTGCATTAGGAGTCCCAAGGCCCCATTCAAATTAACCCTTACGGAAAAAAAAAGATATGGGAAAAAAAGGGTTGAGGGATCGAGAAATTAGAATAGTTCTCTTTTCATTTTAATCATAGAGGAGAGACTCGTCAGCTGGAGGAAGTGAATTTATTCAATGATATTATTTATTTTTGTCGGGAAAGAAAAACTTGTTGAATTTTTTAAATTCTTCCCGCTGGCAAATGTCTTTTTAATTCCACTGGTAATGAATAATCGATACGCCTTATTGCCCATCTACCCCCCCTTTTTTTTTCGACTCCGTCATTTGTAAAAATAATCACGTACTCGACGAAAATTGACTGCCCAATGTTAAAGCCCTAGTTAGTCGCCCATTAATACCCGGGAAAAATTGCCGTTTCGTTATTGCATGAATAAAAATTAAGACTGCACCCCTTATAAAAAAGACTAATATATATTTTTATACAGTTTTTTGTTTGAAAAAAGAAACTCAATGATTCGGAAATGAATAAAAAAAAAATGAACGTGACATTTGCGGAGAATAATGAACAATTCTCATTCTCCCCCGGCATTTGTTTGAAACCACCCACTTGCCAACTCTTGCCCCTTTCATTTCACCTGCTGTCACCTTTGCTCAGCGTTTTTCCACCTTTCCCACCGTAAAATTCTCCACTTTCTTCTCAAGTTTCCATCATCCCGCCATTTCCACTTTTAATTCGCTAATTTCACCCGGTTAAGAATTCATGGGACAGAATACTCAGACGAACGTCTCAAGAAAAATCAAAGCAAAATGCTAACGACTGATGGGCGGGGGTTGTGCCATTTCCCAGGGACTGAATTCATTTCGCATTTTTTTTCTTTTCCCAAATGTTATTATTTTCTTTCCCAGTGGATCCTTCTTCCCCTCGATCACAAATGGAGCGAAATTAAAGATTGAACAAAGGATTTAAACGCTGAATTTGTCATTATGAAGTTTGAACAGTGAAAGATAAAATGAAAAATTTGGAAAAACCGGTTTAAGAGAGATAATTCCAAACAGCGGACAATAAACCACGAGCTAACCACCGGCTAGATTAGATTTACCATCGTCGAAAATCGAATTTGGCGTCGGGTGCGAAGGAATAATCTCCCCCCCTGAGTCCTGGGGCGCCCCCTATCACACATAACCATATATCTTGCCATAGGAGGTCATCCACAGCCTCCGAGCCGCATGCATGCTGCATCCCTCCATTTTACACCGACATGGTAAAAAAGGACAGTGACAATGTGCGCAGATACCGAAATTCATGGTTTGGCGCGGATATCGAGCGACGGGGGGGGGCTAGGCCCCCCCGTATGAAAAATTCCCGCGCTTTTTTCTACCGCTCGTTCACTCTTTGACCGCTAGGCGCTGGACCCCAATCCGCCCAGCGACCACTCCGATTGGCCGAAAGATAGGGTGACAATGCCCCCTCTACATTCTTGATAAAGGGGGTGAAACCTCCCGCGCACGTTCGATTTAGTTCGACCGATAAGGGGTAGGCGAGGGGGAGATGGAATAAATGGGAGGCTGCCCTAACTTATTTGTCTGCCGCTCAGCTATTGACCGGTTATCGATATTGTACCACTCGTACATTATATTCACCACTACAATCACTGACTCTTTAGTTATACCCGAGGGGCGGAGGGGTTCACCACTTAATTAATCCATGCAAATGAATTATCCCTGTGCTGATAATGAGTTGAATTTTCAATTATTCCCGACAAAATAATATATGATGGGTTTATGAATTTTTCTAGTTTTTGGGTGAATTAGAGGGGGCGACAGTACGAGCGGGAAAATTTAAAAAATTCAAATGATGTAAAAAATTTCCTACCGCTCATATTGGTGTTTATTAAAAAAAAATCCCAATGGAATTAGTACGAATAATTCCTGAATCCTCGATACCCATTGAAATTTCCTGAATTCTTTGATAATTAATACTTTATCATCTCGGGGATCGCTCGTTTGATGGAAATGATTATTAAAATATTTATTACTTCGACGGAGTGGATGTGGAACAATGATAATGCAGTGAAAGCTTATTGGAGGAGTTAGTAAACCTAATAATAGACTGTGTATAGTGGCTAACCCCAACAGCATTCATCAATACCCTATTTAAAGACATCTCGACCCTTATGAATATTGTACACCGCCATAACAACACTAGTTCAGTCTTTGCAATGATCAATTGCCCTGGGAATATCAAATAATTAATCCAATAAAAATATGCTACGATATTTTCCCAGAAACCGCTACAACTGATGCCTCTGTATAATTATATTCCACTGAATCGCGAAATCCATCTGCATATGTACCGTTTATTACTCCTGTTATAATTACCCACGAGTTGTAATCAACAGTCATTACATATATCAGGAAATTATTATGCACATACACTCTCTCTCATTGTGCCCTGCAGGACTAACCATATCTTGGAGAAAAAAAAATTCAAGCAATATATAATCAACTATTTTCTGGTCTTTCGCTTTCGTTTTATGTTTCAACCGGGGGTAAAGTGAATCTTAATTCGGTCCAACGAGATTTTTATACCATAGGGAGAGGTTGTGGCACCCTCCGCAGCCCAAGAGCTTGACCGTTTCCCGGGATAATCCCTTCCGAGTGACTACCTTCATCCTCTAATGAAATTCTTTCCAAAAAAAAAAAAAACAAAACGAAAGATTATACTTGGATACTAACCCCGGGTATTCCGCCACCCCTATTCAACTTTTCTGATCCTCAAATGTTGATTCGGTTTTTATTTTAAATTCATTACGAATCTCCCAAATATCTGGATCATTTCCCCTTTTGTTGAATTTGGAATAGTCGACGTGGGATAACAACCCCAATTGATTCAACCGGTGATTATGAAAAAACAAAAATGATAAATGATCATGAATAAAGACTCACCCGTATGAAGTCTCGTGTGCTGCTGTACGTGGCTGAGCTGTTTGAATCTTCTGTCGCAGTAGCTGCATTTGTACGGTTTTTCACCAGTATGAACCCTGATGTGCTGCACCAGCTGATGATTACTCGAGAATGATTTTAAACACTGCTGACACTGATGCGGTTTCACCTCATTACCAGTTATCATACCACCAGGACCAACACCAACACCAAGACCACCAAGACCAGGTACACCAGGCCTACCACCAAGACCACCAGGTCCAAGATCACGTGCGTGCATTGCACTCTGCATGGCGCTCTTGTGCATGAATATCTGCGAGAAGAACTGTTAGGGTTAGTTGGTATGCTGTACTTACTGGCGAACCAGAGCTATACGAATTGGATAATCGCTACTCAAATCGACCATTGCATCCACGACAATCCAATTAGTATTTTCATAATAATGCGGTTAATTAAAAAATGGCATTTTATCAGTCACGAGTGTCTCGAGTTGATCAACCCTTGCATCAAATCGATTCTTCGATGATCGGACGACTCGAACGATTGCTCCATCTTCATCGTCACTCCGTATTGAATTATTTAATTTTTTCAACGCAATGCACGTTGGAATTGAGAATTAATATTAATGAGTATCAATATGTTATTCAATATTTATCTATCTCTGGGGATAGTTAGCTTCTGATTTACATGGCTATCAATTGGCCCTCGGTCATAAACGGACGGTTGCACACAATGTAATACGAATAAATAGCCGGACAAAACACATCGGTGTAAAAAAAAGGGTTGAAGCGAAAGGTGAAATAAAAGAGACGGTTTATTCGGATAACGGGTTGGCGAAGGGGAGGGAGAAGGGAGGGGAAAAAAACAGGTGTTACCGTACCACCCCCACCTACTCTCGGTGGTGTGGGTGAAAACGATGGGGAAAGAGGTTAAAGCGTTTTATTACCGCAGCCCCTTCTTCAAATAGAGAGTAACAACTACCAGTGATGAACAACTGTGATGTCACGACGCCCAGAGCTTCTAGACTTTAAATTGAAAAGAATGAATGGAATTTTTATTAAAATATGGCAAGAGTGTAATTAAAATTGGTGGAAAAAAAAGAAAATCTTGTGATAAGTTTTAAGAATCTTACGACTTTTTGTTACTCATCCTTTAAGAGAGGATGGCCAGGTTTTTGCTGGAAGAATTGAAATTGTCACAAGTTTCTACCACTTATTCTTCCTCGTTTCCACTCTCTCATTCCATCTGAGGAAAATTTTCCACCCTTTCTCGTGCACTTCTTTTTTTTTTCTTCAACCCCCTGCCTTATTTTTATTCTGAGTGAAGTTGAGGAGGGAGAAGGGGTTGAACGATCGACGTTAATCCTCGTGGGAGTGGAAGTGCTGTCCTTTTATCATTTCCATATTCTTTATTTTTAGACTTGTCGCATCTAGGGTTTGAGATTCTCCTACGATTGTGATGATCAATTGAATTTTCTGTAATGACTCGACGAGGCGGGGGTTAATGGATTTTTATGAAAAAATAATCGAGATTTAATGTTCAACGACAGTCACCGGCCGGTGAAATTATTCATAAGACACTCCTTTTCTTGACTCTGAAGGGGAACCAAGTAGCGAAAGAACATAAAACGTAAGAAGGGGTTGGAAAATTTCTAGCGATGGGTTTTTTTTTTCTACTAAAAAGTGGAGACTCGCACTGACCATTAATCACATTTTTATCTCGTTGTAGAACGGAAAATAGCGCGGGCTCCTTGGCTTGAATCTATGCCCTTTTTTTTCTGATTTATCACCGGCGACAGTGAAAAAAAAAAATGGAAGAAGCAATATGACCGCGAGAATGAGACATCAGGAGCGGAAGTCTGGGACTTTAATGTCGCCGTCCTGTTGAAAAAATAAATGGACATTTCGATTGTATGCAAAGTCGGAGATTTCAACCTCTTGATTCGAAATTAGCAATCCACCAGTGCAGCTATTTCCAATCCATAAAAGACCCTTGACGACAGGCTCACCTGGATCGTTAACACAACCCTTTGACTCACCCCCTTTTCGGAAGCCATCAAATGTACCCAACATCAACCCCTTATCATCATTCCGTTCGTTGAAAGCATCTTGCGATAAAGATTATTGATAATCGAGTTCTTGTTTCCAATTCGACCGAAGGATTGATCGATTTATTGACGAGTCTGGTGACAGAAAAAGCCACAAGCAACCTCTGAATCACACCCAATGAAAGCGAATCCCCGTAGTTCTCAGTGAGCCTTTCTGATCCACAACAACGAAAATAAAAAAGAAAGGCTACAACAACACAAAGCTACAGCTATCACCTGCTTGCCATATGCCCGGAGGGAAGTTAGAAAGGTAGGAAAGAAGGTAGGAAGAAGGGAAAAGAGGTGCAACCACTCTGTTTTGTATAAACTGCACTGACTCATGAAAACACACGTGACAACCGTACACTTTATTCCACCCACGCCGTGGACAGCCTTCGCATATGGTCCGAGTTGATCATGGGTGTGTGAAACAATGTTGCTTAAGAAAATAGTCATGAGAATACTCGCTGATATTGAGGCAGTTGGTTGATCTGTCTGAATCGTGCTGATGCCTGCCAGATCAGACCTATCAACATCATCAGTGGATGATCAGTGGATGATCAGTGCATCATCAGTGCATCATCATCATGGATTACCTGGGTTGGAAGACGATGGGGATGCTGATAGAGAGGTGGACCATAAGGCGAATGCTCTCCATAACCATTGACACGTGAATGGGACTGATGCTGAATTTGTCCTGATTCTGGATGTATCGTTGGTGTTGATGGGGGAGGTGGTGGCCATCGTGACTCCATACTACCACCGTGACTCTCACTTCCGGTATACATATTCCCTTGTATTTTCACTTTCTGCTCAGTTATTACCCATATGTCACTGTCATCACTCTCAACGCGAATAAAGAAATCATTCGATTGTTGGATGCGCTTTGGAGTTTGTAGTTCACGGATTTATTAAACTGGGATTGGTGTGGAGATAAAGCGCTTAACCATTATGTAAGAAAAATAGCAATATTACGTAATTAGTGGTGATTATTGTGCCTAGTGAAGAACAAAGTCCCTTTTTTAAAAATAGGATGATGGTTCAAAGATGAATTTGTCGATTGATTAGGAAAATATTATCACTAGCGGTTTGTAATTTTTTGAAAAAAAAATACTTGTTGCTTGGTGACTGAGCTATTTTCAGAGACTATCGATGGGTGATCTATCGAAAAAATGGCGGCACTTATCGCAACACTCCCGGAAACTTGTTCCCAAAGGGGTTAACTCGGATTTTTTTTTTCTGTTGAGAAAACCGGACAGTTCGATAACTGAGTCTCGACAGCATCAAATGCCCTCATTAACGCGGCAAATAATAAATCGAAATAACGAATAGTGAATTCGATTGTCCGACGACGCCATCCACTATCGAATGTCGTTGTAAAACTAAAAGAGGGGACGATTTCTTGCCTAGGCCGAGGGCGATAGAAAAAAGGCGTGATTGGTTGGTAAAAAAAAGAGTAGAAAAAATAGAAATAAAAAAAAAACAGAACATTGTAAAAATCATCGTGCGAATAGAGACACAGAGAGGGTGGGAGTGGCTTGAAAAGACGAGGTCCCGCTTGGTCGATGCTGATAAGACGATTTGTAAAAAAATCGGCTCAACAGTGATATCGATTGAAATAACACAACCACGAGGGATTCATCGTATTTGGGACGCACAACCAGTGGCGACACTCAATAGTTTAAACCAATGAGGGAGGATGATGCAGTATTTATCTCACTCCCTCTCTCTCTCTCTATCTCAACATCTTTATCTTTACCACCACTATAAACTCGAACATCTGAGTGAGTGTGGTTGAAAAGCGCCGGTAGAAGTTCCCGCTATTCGGGAAGCAATTCACCGTGGCGGTTGGTAAAGAGTCATCGTCCATTTGGATTTTTACCAAGCCGGGTAAATCGACTTGCTCGGCCAGACTCACGCCAGACGCTGGGCGACCAACTGCGGAGAGGTTAGGGTAGGGTAATAACGCGCCAGGGAAAATGGAAAGGTCGTCTGGATACTTTCCACTGGACTTGACACACTAATTTTATTATGCTCATTCGTATCCATCCATTTTTATTCACCACCTGAGATTACGATTCAACCATTTACCCACGTACCAATCAATTCCTCATTGTCATTAAGAGGGGGATTCCCCTGTTGGAAAGAAAAGATGCAGTGGTGCCAATGGATTTTTTTTTTCCTTGCGCCTCGCCTTTCCGGTAGGGGACGCGTCTATTCCAGGACAAGGTGCGTTTTGCGATAGTTCTCGGGGTGTTATCAGTGTCTACATCGTGATAAGACCGCGGTTATGCACAAACGGTCGCGTGGCATTCGCGCATCCCTACCTTTCACACCGAAATTTTCACTGGCGTCGACGAGACGCCGGGAATCACTCAGAAATTTTCAATCGACAGCGGGAATTATATTAACGATCGATTCTTTTTTACTTTATTCTTTTGATATCAACGGAGCTCCATCGAACTATTTAATCGCATTATTTTCGGTTGGATAGACGCCGGGCACGCGATCCTTCCCCGGTTTATTTTTCATCCCGGGGTTTATTCTCGTACCCTTTTTTTTTAGGAACATTGTAAAAATGATTAGTGATGCTTTTTTTATCTCGCTTGAAATTTATTCCGATTATAGAACACCAAATATCGAATATTTCATTGGGGAATTGATTTAAGTGATATAAAAAAAAAACTGGGTGTTTATCTCAATCGAGACATGAGGTGAAAATAAACTCACAGGACGTAAACAAAGCCGCGGAAGATATCGCGATGGGTAAGGGATCTTTGATGACTTAGGGAAATTCCAGAAGGCCAATGAAATACCTCGTGAAAATAATTCGATGGGATAAAAATAATCGAATGAAATTGCCGCTGAAGAGAGATACGTAAGAAGCAAATAACGAAGGTACAAGAGACGCTGGGAAAAAGTAGATGGCAACGGGAGAGGGGGGAGGGGGAGATGAGGATGAAAGAAGGGGCAACTGGGGAAAGGGGGAAATGCAAGTTAAGGCCGCGGTGTAGAAAAAAAAAAAGGTGAAAGAGGAGAAAAAAAAAGAATAAGTAAAATATCCCGACAGGCCTTGGCTGCTGCAGTCGGGCCGCGTTGCCAAGTCTCATTTGTTTATCGAAGACGCGCGGGTGGGAATATTAAATCTACCTCATTAAATTATTTTCCCGCCAAAAATAAATTGTACAAAAAAAAAATACCGTGATAATAAATTCTGTCTTGATTTGAAAATATTTAAT